GTTATTAAGTAATTATTCGCTGGGTTAGCTAATAAAATTATAAGCTGTTTCGTCTCGTTATGAATGTGTACCTTTAAATAAGTGTTAATGGAAAATTGAGAACGTTGCTTAGAATATTTAGTGGGAATTACACCGGAAGTGTAGTTAAGCATACAGGTTTTTAGTTTTGCAAACACTCACTCTTTCCTCTGAGCTCACATGTGTAGTTCTTTGTGAGCTTGTATCTATGTGTTAGTGTAGGAAGTTTATGAAATAGTTTTTACACTGTGACTGTATTGTAAGTTAAATGACTTTAATTTGTGCAATTTATACACTTTATCTTGCTACGCATTTTGATGTTCCTGTTTTAAACTGGTAGTAATGCATATGTTTGTCTTAAATTTACTTGGTAAGAAATTCAATTGTTGTTTTAGTTGTAAGTTGAGTTTTTTTTTCATTTTTGAACAAAATGTTTGTCTATTGAAAACTAAATTAAATATATTTTAATTTATTCTAAGAAAGTTTTATTTCAAAACTTGTGCATAATAATTTTTTTTTCTCATTCTATTGTTTTTCTTTTGTGTTTAAGAAAAACTAAATTTTTATTTGATATTGAACTATAAAACTATTAGAGGGTTTTCTCTTAAGTGGGTTTAAGTTTTTGTTTTATACTTTTTTATTTCACTTCTTTATTTGTTGGGTTTTTTTCAGGGACATTTCTTATAATTTATAACAATTGTTGTTATTAGTTAGTTTATTATCAAACTATTTTGTAGGTAAAGTATTTAATGAAAAAGATATCGTAAGAATTTGGGCTTGTCTTCATTTATAGTTTACTGCTGTTTGTCAAGTAAATAAAAATTTCGAAAGTATTCCCTTAAAGCTTTTATCCCCTGTTAGTTGCCATAAGTTTTACTAAAGGCCCTACTAGAGTTGTAGAAATATGTTTGTATTTTATATATAAAAATTTTCTTTATATTAAACACTCGAGACTATTACTTGACATTATGAATCGTTTTTTTTTCGTATTCTATTGTTTTTCAGCAAATTGTTTTCATTCTTTGCTGAATATTTATTTGTTTTTCTCTTTTTCACTTAAAGGACTTTATAAGCATGTTTATTTATGCCTTGTGTGTATAAGTATATATATGTATATATTTTATATTGCTCGATATTTTCTTTGTATTTTACAACAGTTAGTTCGTTGTTTGTTTTAATGTTCGAAAACTGTTTACCTTGCAATTTTCCATTAACAGTTTTGTTGTTGCCTTAATTGTTGAGAAAATTTATGGGAACGTGCATATTTTAACGCAATTTTATTGTAATGGTAATTAAGAAGTTATGCCTTTTTTGGGGGTTAGCTTGTGAATGTGTTAAGAATGTGTACGTTGCGTATAAATTTTATGTTTTTGTGGTAAAGAAAATTTGAAAATTTTTGCAATATTTCACTTTAATTTAAAAGCTTTTATAATTTTCAGCTGTATTAGCCATACCCAGCAAAAACATGATAATGACTTGTAGGTACTTATTCGCAAACCTACTTTTCAATGACTACTACAAACCGTCTGCATTACTTAGAAGGAGTGTAATAATGACTTAAAAACTTACCTTTTAGCCTTACATATATGTATATTGTTTCGGATATTGTTTTATATAGAAACATTAATTTTAAATTTTAATTTTTTATGGAAACTTGTATGTAGTAAACGTATCCTCGTAGGCGAAGGCCTTGTGGGCTGAGATAGGTTAGTGTTTTAGTGTGGTAGACCGGAGATAAAGGGTTCAATTCCCACCTGAGGTACTGGTATATCCATCCTCCTTTCTTTCTTTCTAACTAACTAACTAACTAACTAACTAACTAACTAACTAACTAACTAACTAACTAACTAACTAACTAACTAACTAACTAACTAACTAACTAACTAACTAACTAACTAACTAACTAACTAACTAACTAACTAACTAACTAACTAACTAACTAACTAACTAACTAACTAACTAACTAACTAACTAACTAACTAACTAACTAACTAACTAACTAACTAACTAACTAACTAACTACTAACTAACTAACTAACTAACTAACTAACTAACTAACTAACTAACTAACTAACTAACTAACTAACTAACTAACTAACTACTAACTAACTAACTAACTAACTAACTAACTAACTAACTAACTAACTAACTAACTAACTAACTAACTAACTAACTAACTAACTAACTAACTAACTAACTAACTAACTAACTAACTAACTAACTAACTAACTAACTAACTAACTAACTAACTAACTAACTAACTAACTAACTAACTAACTAACTAACTAACTAACTAACTAACTAACTAACTAACTAACTAACTAACTAACTAACTAACTAACTTAACTAACTAACTAACTAACTAACTAACTAACTAACTAACTAACTACTAACTAACTAACTAACTAACTAACTAACTAACTAACTAACTAACTAACTAACTAACTAACTAACTAACTAACTAACTAACTAACTAACTAACTAACTAACTAACTAACTAACTAACTGACTAACAAACTAACTAACTAACTAACTAACTAACTAACGAACTAACTTACTAACTAACTTACTAACTAACTTACTAACTAACTAACTAACTAAACTAACTAACTTACTAATTAACTGACTATTTAACACCTTACTTGCAGGCAATCATTATAAGTACTTGTCTAACTGCCTATTAGTAAACGATCGTAGTAAGTACTTGCCTCCAATGTCATCACTATACTACTTTTCTCAAAAAGTAGTATTTTTTGTACTATTATTACATTGCCGAAATATAAATGTTCAATATGTGAATTTGAATAATACGATACATTTTAATAACTCTACTTAACTATTATTACAATAATAACATAATTAACATTTTCCTATGAAAGAATGCATTACTTTTTAAATAATAATTATGTTTTTATTGTTTCAACAGGATGTTAAAGCAATTTATTAAATTTAATTTTATTATTTACTTGCATTAAACAGTACTATATTAAATTATAATTTATTACAATTATAAATTAAAAATGCTCTAAAGAGGTAGAGCGGATCAAAGAGAGAGAGAGAAAACATATGAAATAATCTTGAAAATTATTTTACAAAAATATTTAATAATAAAAATAATAATAAAAAAATATAAATCTATTTTTAGAACAAAAAACAAAATGCCTTTATTAGTGGCTCTACGTGAATTAGTTTATAATCTTTTGTGTGCTGTGACTGATATACAAACAATGGAATAAATATGTATAATATGAATACATATTGTACTCAAGTATACTTACTACGGACGACAAGAGTGTGTTTATAACAATCATGAACATTCTATTAACACTTAAAATATTTACTTATGCCTGTTTCTAACTACATCTTACTATTACACCTACAAATTGCATGAAAAAGGAAAATTCTATGAAATTTAAGATTTATTTAAATAAATTTAATTAAGATTTCAATTCAAATTTAAGATTTTTTCTAGTTGAAAATTTCAATTATTTTCTCAACAGTATTAAACTGGTTATAGAATCCTTTTATTATGCTCTTTTTGTATGTCGGAAATATTCAATCTATGTTTTGTTCCTTTTATATAAAATTCATTTTCACTTTTAATGATTGATGGAGTAACAATGACTTTGGTTTCATGTCATTAAAAGTTCCAGCAAGTAAATGAAAAATGAATATATATGACGATTGCCATAGCTTTGTGCATTTTGTGGTAGTTACCCTGTAGTTTTAAAGAGAAATTTTAAGTCAAATATATATTTCCAATCTAAAATCCAATTTGCTGTGTTAGGTTTGAGTTACATTCATGTGCTGCTGGGTTTTGTTATCAGTATAAAAATATTTATACATTGATACTACTGCACATATTTATTAAGGATTCACATTACTTTATATGGAATTTCTTTGCATATATGTATGTTAGTAGACCATAAAATTCCTAGACATATGAATATCTGTTTTGTTCAAAATCTTAAGTTATGACCTGTCTGTGTCCAAAAATCAGTTTAATACTAGGATAATTTATCATATTGTAATAATAACTTATTCTGTTGTACAATCTGATCATTATGATAATGCTGATGATATGGAGTTAATCAGAATTAATAGTAAATATTAACATTAAATAAATTTATTTGAAGAACTTCCGTATGAGTGGCATTTACAATGAAATTTAATGAAAACTTTATGCATATATTTACATAAATATAAGTGTTAAAGGTCATTTGTAGGTTTATTTTGGTATGATAGAATAAATTTAAATTTTAATTATAAAAACTAATGTTTATTTACTGATGAGAAATTACTTGGAAAGAAAAGATTAAAGATAAAGAATCGATCCATATTTCCCCACAGCCTCTATATAAAGCAACTTTCAAAAAATTCATATTTCATCCAAAAATTAAAGAAATGAATCACATTTTATTCTAATAAATTCTGCTAAAGGGTATGATACTTTATTTTTTCTCAACATCGAAACTACTTCATTTCTTATCTGCAGTCAATAGCAGTAAGTACTTACCTAACTCCCTACTTGTAAGCGAAAGTGACAAATACTTACCTCCAATGTCATCATCGAGTTCTTTCACCACTTTCTGAAAATTTTGTATCTAATTTACTTTTATTCAAAATTAAAATTTTTAAAAATTATATAAGAATATTATTAAACTACGTTTTTTGAAAATAGTAGTTCATATTAAATAAATACTATTATAAATTTAACAAAGATTTAAAATATTTGTTAAAAAAATAGTATCATAAACATAAAAAGAACCTTTTATAAAAACTTTATTTATATGGTTTCCAAAGAATACCCTTAAAAATCTACTTATAAGTTTACCAAATATTTCATATTAATTAATTTATTTTTATAAGTTAATTACAATTTTTTTAACGACAACAATAGCTTTTCAATTTTTCCTATAAAAAATTGTCTTTTTTTATTATATTTATTTAATATATCTCATTTTTTTTTTGTCTATTTTCAGTTATGGATAAATGAAATCAGTAGTGGTATATTGGTTTTTTACAAAATTAAAAACACGACAAACGCTTCAATCATCACAATAACACCATGTAAGTAAATAAAAACCAGGATAATTTTTTTATCACTACCACACAAAATGTCATTTTCGTTAACATATACAAAAACAGTTTAGTCAATATAGAAGAAAATATATATAAATTTGATATTGTTAATTTAAATGAGATTTTGTTGTTGATTTTTGGCACAAAAACTGCACAGATAGAAGCATTGAAAAAAATTTTAAAAAAATATTTAAATTTATTGGAATTATGCATAAATATAACATTTGTGCTTAAATACATATTTTAGGAAAATGTTTGAATATAATCAAATAATAATAAATTATTTGAATGTTTATTATTTGGAAAATTATTTATTTTATTTATTTAAATACATAATAAAAATGTCTGAATTTGAAATTATTTGCGCAAAAATTTAATTTGAAAATCAACACTTCTATTTAATTTGTTATAAAATAATTAGCTAGTTAAAGTTAATAAATACACAGAGGAAAAAACCGGTAGAAAAGTACTGAAATTGATAAAATCCGTTGTCAAAAGTGAGCTTGCCATAAAAAATTTAAATAACATCATTTTGACAACGACCATTATAATTTTAACAACGCATAGTTGTCATTGCAACTACGAATTGTTGTCATTGCAACAACGCATTGTTGTCATTTCGATTACGCTTTGTGTCATTTCGGCAATGCATCGTTGTGATTTCGACAACGAATCGTTGTCACTTTGGTATCACATTATTATTTGTTTGTTGTCGCGTATTTTTTATTTTTCTGATGTTGATTTGACAACTATCCGTACATACTTTTACAACGGATTTTTATTAAAAAATTTTAAACACTTTGGTGTCAATTTGGTACCAGGCGTGTATAATATTAAAATGTCTTTTTTTCCCTCTGTGTAACATACATATATTAAATATTCCTCTCAAATATGTAGATATTATAAATGTCAAAACAACAAATATACATATAACAAGTTTAAATAAACTTTTACAAAACGGTGGTTTATGTTAATTAATGATCGTTTATGTATTTAAGTTTATCGCTGATATTGTTATTGAAATTAGTTTTATTCGAAACAATGTTTAAAACTAATTTATTAATGATTTAATCAAACACAATTGATCATCGATGATATGATTAGTTTTAATTAATTGTTTTTAAACAAATATACTTAACGTAACCAAAGAAAAGTTTTGTTTAATATGAACATCAAATAAAATATTTCTTGTTAAAAGTTTGACAAATTTAAAGCATTTTCCATAATTAGTATTATTTGCATAAATTTAACTAACTATTTGAAAGAGTAATGTAGTAAAACTATAGCTTAAATATTCTATTTAAATTGTTTTTTTAAAAAAATAACATCTGCATATTAAATTGTAATCTATCTTGATAATAGAATTTATTTAAAAAAATTACCATAATTACACATTTAAGCCGCTACCAGACAATTTTAATAGTTTTATTTTTAATAGTTAAAATGTCTTTTATTGAATACATTTGTATATAAAAAATGTGTTTGTATTATCACACGTATTTTGTTAGTTTTAATTATTTAAAGCTTTCAATGGTCAATTAATAAATGTTTTGTTTTAATTATACAATCACTTGTGTATTATTACTTTTTTATTATTAGTAATAATAAATTTTTTTTTCGCCATATTTTTTTCTATTATTAACTTTACAAATTGAAAGTCATTTGTCATAGACAGCTGTACAGTTCTTTTTTTTATAAATAAAAATAAACAAATAAATGAAAAAAATATACATACATACATACATATATGTGTATGAACATACAAGGAAAAAAATAACCATTAAATATTTGTTATGATTTTAAATATAATAATTGTTATGTTAAACAGTTTTTGTTAATTGTTGAACAATTTTATTAATAAATATTAATTAATTTATGTTTTTAATACAAATTGTACCAATTACATTATTTATTTGTTATTATATTTATATTTATTAAATAAAATTATTTTCCAATGTTTTATGTTTAATTTTATTAACAAATATATCACAAAAACATATCTACATGTGGTTTTTGGTCCTTTTATTGGTATAAAATAAATTAATTTCTCAGTATGATAATATTTTAAGTACAGCGTGCAGGAAAAGGATTAAATTTCCTTTACAACAGGTTTTCATTAGATTTTATTAGATAAACATTATTTACATATTTCAGACATATGTGTGTATGTATGTATTTAGATTTTATCACTCTTCTGTGTATTAGTATTAAACATATGTTCATTTAATTAGTTAGAACATATTGCCATAATTAATGACATATTTTGTATGTATAAATTTCTATGTGAAAATTAATTATAATGGAATTTACACTTGAGTTGACAAATACTTTATGGTTATTTATTTACTTTTGATAATAAAGTCGAAGTTTAAAGATTTTGTTTATTCGCTTGAATCAAATAGTAAATAAACAGTAGTCTAGACTAAAGTTTTGTATGTGGACTAGATTTAAGTCTGACTTGAAGACGAGACTTTAGACGAGACTCAAGGCTGGTTTACATACAAACGAGACTTTAGTCTGCTCTACAGACGAGACTCTAGTTAGTTCTTTAGACGACACTCTAGTCTGATCTATAGACAAGTCTCTAGTCTGGTCTATAGATGAGACTCTAGTCTGGTGTATAGATGAGACTCTAGCCTGGTCTATAGACGATACTCTAGTCTGGTTTGTAGACGAGACTCTAGTCTGGTTTATAGACGAGACTCTAGTCTGGTCAATAGATGAGACTCTAGTCTGGTCTATAGATAAGACTCTAGCTTGGTCTATAGATGAGACTCTATTCTGGTCTATAGATGAGACTCTAGTCTGGTCTATAGTCTGCTCTATAGACAAGTTTCTATTCTAGTATATAGACAAGACTCTAGTCTGGTCTATAGACAATACTCTAGTCTGGTCTATAGACGAGACTCTAGCCTGGTCTATAGACAAGACTCTGGTCTGGTCTATAGTCAATACTCTAGTTTGGTCTATAGACAAGACTCTAGTCTGGTCTATAGACAAGACTTTGTGGACAATACTCTAGTCTGGTCTGTAGACAAACTTTAGTTTGGTTTATAGACAAGACTCTATAGACAATACTCTAGTCTGGTCTATAGACAAGACTCTAGTCTGGTCTATAGACAAGACTCTAGTCTGGTCTATAGACAAGACTCCAGTCTGGTCTATAGACAAGACTACAGCCTGGTCTATAGTCTGCTCTATAGACAAGTTTCTATTCTAGTATATAGACAAGACTCTAGTCTGGTCTATAGACAATACTCTAGTCTGGTCTATAGACAAGACTCTAGCCTGCTCTATAGACAAGACTCTGGTCTGGTCTATAGTCAATACTCTAGTTTGGTCTATAGACAAGACTCTAGTCTGGTCTATAGACAAGACTTTGTGGACAATACTCTAGTCTGGTCTGTAGACAAACTTTAGTTTGGTTTATAGACAATACTCTAGTCTGGTCTATAGACAAGACTCTAGAATGGTCTATAGACAACGCTCTAGTCTGCTCTATAGGCAAAATTCTATTCTATATAGACAAGACAAGACTCTAGTCTGGTCTATAGACAAGACTCTAGTCTGGTCTATAGACACACAATATTGCTATGAAATTATACAATTTTTTTTTTTTGCATTTTAATAAATTCAATCTCAAAACGATGTCGAAGTGACAAACTGTTTTTAAAACTGTATTGTATTTTAACATCAAAAATTTAAAAAAAAGTTTAAGCTCTTATTAAATCATGTTTATCTTAAACAAAATTTCCCCTTTCAATTTCTTAGTAAATGATAAATTTCTTTTAAATAAAGCGCTTAAGAAACAAACAAAAGACGTCATTAAACTATTACGCCTGAATTGTCAACGATTGATGCTTGGTTTGGTATGATGTTTAAAATTTAATTAAATTCTCACCTAACTTTAAACAACAAATAAAATATTTTTATTAATTAATCTTTTTTATTAAAAGTATCAATAACAAGTAGACTACGCAAAATCTCCAGGTTGATTAGTGGTTTATTTTTCAAAACGAAATGCTATACATTGTAGTATAGTTTGAGAAAAGCAAAAAGGAAAAACTCTTGCTCATTTGTTGGTGTTAGTGAAAAACGCAGAAAAAATACACATACATATACATATGAATGTATGTGTCTCGTTATAAACATACACTCATGTGGTTATTTTTATTATTGTTGTTTGGTGTCAAGTTCAGTTATTAAGCTATAAATTTTCATTTCATTTATATGTATGTATGTACGTAAATAATGTAAAGTAATACATTTATTACACAGTAAAATGTTTGTGTATGTTTCATTATTTGCCATATTTTTTATCAATATAGTTTATAGTGTGTTGTTGTGTAAAAAAAAACTTCTTTTAACTATTTCACTTCGATTCGTTTACATTTGTATTTAAATTTAAATTTCCGGTTTACACACCCACCTTTATAAAGAACTTTGTTATGTATAATTGTTACAAATGTATTTATAGATTTATAAAAGTTATATTTTGTTGTTTATTAAAGTTTTTATTAATTAATTATTTTATTTGTTGCTTTTACACGCAGTTGTATGAAAATGTGTGAAAATTATGAATTGGTGTTTGTGTATTTTTTTTTTCCTCCATGTAACACTTCTATTGTTGTTTTTGATTATTATTATTATATTTTTGAACAAATGAACAAACAATATAATAAATATGATTTCGTTTCTTTTCTATTATTTTGTTATCTAGCAATCTATGTTTTTTGTTTAGTATTCATATACACACAGCCATATGTATGCATATATAAAAGTTTATTTATGCATGTGTATGTATGTATGTATTTGCTTAGACTATATAATATTTTTACGTAGTGTTTTTATAATTATTTATTTTTGTGCAAACTCGTAAATGCAGACACACAGTTATAAATTCAATAACAAATTTTTGTTTTAGGTGACCAGCTGTTTAAGTACATATTTTATTAAATAGCAATTTATCTTTGAAATTATTTGAAAAT